AGGTTAGCTGTGTAGGCCATCTTCAACGTTTCAGCTATTTTATACATTCCAAAGATTATGTATCTTCTAGGATATTTGAGTTTGAATGATTGTATCAAATAAAGTTAAGTAATCACACATATGATATACTTTTCTAATACAGAAATTTGAAGAGAAATACCATTGTGAACTTTTAAAAATGAATTTTGCTTTCAGTATTACAAATAAGTAACAAGTATTTATTGAGCTTCTAGTGTACATCTAGTATTGTGTTTAAGCTGCTGCTATTTTCTAATTGCTAATCAGAAGAAAAAATACATATATAACAGTGTGGACAAAAGGTAATTCATTTGAATATCTCCCTTACACATAACCTGTGCTTGTATTATGTAAGGTTAATTTAAAAGAAGAATTAAAACATAAATATCAAATTATATTTAAAGTTTTAATTCGCATTGTCTGAGAGTATTCATTTGATCGATATATGAATAGTTTAAACTATCTTGTTCTTTTGAGAATATGAAAAATATAATTTCATATTTTGGGGAGGAGGAAAGATTTACATGGAGAAGAGACTCTTTTATGTGCAAAATTCACATAAATCTGTTAGACCTTTAAGAACAATTTGTGATAGAATAATTTTAGATACATTATTAATACCTTTAAAATAAATACTTTGCCTCTTTGCTCTTATTTTAGAAAAATAAAGCTGAAAGTGAGAGAAAACTTCTAAGTTCCTTTTCAAAACTAACCACAGCGTGGACTGTAAAGAAAATTGTTTCTTTAACACAAGGACATTGTACCGCTTGCAGTTGTTGCGTCAGCGCCGTGCCTGGCGTGTGACCCGGAATATTGCCCGGGCCCGCTCGCCGCGGGGAAGGAAGGAAACGGCGCTTTGCCTGCGGGTCGCTCTTCCCACGCTTGTGCCCCGAGAGGCGCCCGCGCCCGCTGCCGCTCTTCCTGCCACCCACACGTGCGCCACTGCTCGCCCGTCTGTGGGACCCGGCGAAACTGTCCAGATGGGCATCGTTTCGCCGGCACGCTAAAGCAGCTAGCAACAGAGTTTTGCTGGTGTTTTAGTTTTCTCTTTGCCGTAACGGTGCAGGAAAGAAACAGGCAAGAGAAATTCAATATGTTAATCTGACTGGATTACATAGGACAGGAAGAGCCAATGGTTCACTCCAATGGTGTTTGTAAATGATTTTACAGATGTCCTGATGCCGTGTCCCCAGAACCCGACGGCAAAGCCACTCTAGTTCTTATGACTAGAGGGTTAAACCTCCCCGGGGAGATGACAGAAAGTTAAACTCCTGGGCTTTACTGTAGCACCTTATTTGTTTTGTTTCTTTGTATGTTTATTTTCCTTTTGATTTCGTTGTTATCTCCTGTCAAGTTTAGTAATTACAACGTCTGATGGTCATTATTTTGCCTGATTGGGCGAAAGTTGGATTCATTTCGTCTTTTCTTTTACGTTTTGCTCACAGTTAAACCAAAATCTTGTTTTTGTTGTTTAACGTGGGGTCCTCTGCGCTGGGCTCGGGGTGCGGAGCGTCAGCACCGGCACGGTGCTTTGTCCTAATTCGGAACCGTAAGCAGCACAGTGGAGTTTCTGGACACCCGTATACATTGAAATTTCAGTTTTTATATCATATTTTAATTTAATAAAATAATGAATAAATAAGAGGAGGCGCCCAGACACCCAGAGGTACTCTTTTTTAATATGCAAGTGTTTTGGGATGGGATTCATTAAGTCCCTTTCAGAGGGTAAAGGGAGATGCTGAGAGGAAGAGGCTCGGAGGGGCTGGCGCTGGGAGGCTCTCCCGAGCGGCGGGGCCGCAGCCTGCAGGTGACCGCCACTTCCAAGGCCAGCTCTCTCCGCCTTTACTCCCTTCACATACGCATCAGTTTTCAGCGCGTTATCTTTCTGCTACCAAAAGGTTAGTTTGCAATAGAAATATTTTGGGTCATTTTGGAAAAGTCCGATTCTGCGTCCACCCCACGTTCCTCGTCCTGGTCTTTTTAAAACTCAGGAGGAAGGGCAGATTGAGTCAAAGTTAAATTTTCTCCCATTGGTTATATTACACAGGAGCTACTTTATTGACAGTAATCTTTAGATTATTTCTCCTTTTAATTTTTTCTGGAAGTCTTATATATACAGACACACGTATCATTATGTTCTATTTTGCTTAGATACCATCGTCCTTCCAAATGTAGCTTGAGGATAGAAATAACCTGCCGTGAATATGTTCATCAGATATGCCGCATGCCTGACACACAGCACCGTGTCACGCGGGAGGCAGCCAGTTCCTTGAGGGATGAACGCTCCTTTTATTACTTATTACACACAAGCTTTTTTACTAATATGATTTATTAAGGGCCCGTTTGAGGAAAAAGAAGAGTAGGAATGAAAAGAATCATTACATAATTTTAAGCATACTTTTCTTGTAAATTATTTTCTGCAGGAGACAACGAATTTATGTAAAATGCTACTGCGTTAATGCTTTTTAGTTCTGTGTTCAGAAGCTGAGTTATATGCAGCATTACAGAAGTGTAAGAGATTTTAGCTTTTGACTTTGGCAGATTAGACTGTAAGCTAATAAACGTATGGAATATACTTTTGCATGGCCAGAGAGTAAATTGATGTCCTCTCATATTTCTACTCTTTATTGCTGTGCTATAGAGGTCGCTATCTGGCCCAGTAGCAAGTATTTTTAAGTCTGTTTAGGATGCATACTCCAGATCCACCATAGTCTCTCTTAAGAAGTGGCGTGCTCAGTTGTTTTCTATCATGTTGCTTACCACATGATTTAAAAAAACAAAAACAAATATGACATTCGGAAATTCGCAGAGAGCTTTGAATCCTGTCCTTGTGAAGCTTATTTGTATGTTGCAGTCTTACTGTTTCCTGACGGCGATTGTAGTGAAATCACAGTCACGCAATTGGAAACACCTTTCAAAAAATTCTGCAATGGCTTTTCTCTGTCTCCTCTTCCCTTCGGCCTCTTAAGGATTAAAAATGACCGACGGAACTTAAAAGATGCGAGTTACAGGAACTTAGCAGCTCTATGAGAGCAGTTCAGTGATGGAAATAAAGGCTTTGAAGGAGAGCTTACGTTCTGATCTAGTACAACAGGGAGCATCGTAACCAGAAGGAACAGGTCTGATGCTGGGCCCCGGGAAGGTGCACATTTGTTCAGGTGGAGGGGACTCTTCTTTTCGGTTGGTAGTTTATTCCAGTTGTGCAAAGGTTAGTGTACTTGTGTGAAACTGTAGAACCAGATTCATTTCCACTCTGTCTTTATTGCCTGTCAGTGGAAGTCTGACTGTGACTGGAGTTGTACTTCAGGCATGGATGCCATCTTTATGGGTAACGGTACAAAGTGCTTCAGAAGTATTATCATTGGAAGGAAGAAACCCTCTCATGTATGACAGTGTGCACTACCGTGGATTTGTTAGCAAGGTAGAGACCGAAGAGACCCATCTTAGTGGCCTCTGATCAAACCTTGTGCTCTCCCAGCAGGAAGATGTCAAAACCGGAGGCTTGGGAAATAAAATATATGAGAGACGATGGCAGGTGTCATGAGGAACGGGAAACTGGGATCACCAAAGCAAACTCTAGTTTTTTAAAAACTAGGTGTGCTGTAGATGAGAGAGTGAGCATTGCTGAGTATTATGACACGGGAAGGCACTGCCCTTAGAGCCTTATGCACTTTACCAGACGCGGTGTTTCTTAAACCTGAGCACCCACCAGAATGCACTGGAGGGCTTCTTAAAAACCCCCTCAAATTGTTAGGCCCCACCCCCAGAATTTTCTAGTTCAGTAGGTCTGGGGTGTGGCCTGATGGATATTTGCATGTTAAGAAGTTCCAAGGTGGTGCTTTATTTTCATCCTAGCCAGGGACCACACTTTGAGAACAAATACATCAATCCTTATAATAACCCTATGAGGTAGGCATTACTATTTTTATTTTACATACTAGTAGTCTGAGCTCTGAGAGGTTAAATAACTTAACCAAAAGTCACACAGTAGTAAGTGGCAGCATTGGGATTCAGATTCAGGTTTCTTCCCCACTCCAAAACCAATCCTTCTCTATCCAGCCACACTTTATTAAAAGATAAAGAGATAAAGGATCGTGAGCGAAGCAAGGTGGAAGTAATGTTACTTGACACTGGAGACTGACTAGCAGAGCAGGAACATCGAGCTCCGTCACCCCGTGCCCCAGCTGGGCTGTGGTCTTGACCAGTGTGCGGTGAGGCTATCCCCTGGTCCACGAATTGGAGAAAAGAATGCCACCATTTATCTAAGGTGGCTGGCAGAATTGCCAAGGAGCTCCGGGGGAGCCTTTGACAGATCCAAAGGGAAATATAGGATCTTAACGAAGACGAAAGGCCTGATGGTATGAAAGCTGAAGACGATGGTGTGAAAGCTGACTTGGGGCAAACAAATAGAAAAGCAAGTGCTTTTTAATAGTATTTATGTGAAATAGTGGCAGTTGCTTAATGTGTCCTCAAACATATGAGAAACAGAACAAAAACAGACACATTTCCACGAACCTATGAAGAAAAAACAAATTGGAAGACCAGCGAGTATAACTGCATCGCAGCATCGGGCCTCTCCACGTTGTCTGACCACGTAGCGCTGTGGCCCGAGCGTGAATTTCAGGGCCTCATTGTGTCCCCGCATCGCTGCGTTCACTCACGCCGCCTGCGTTCAGCTGAACTCAGTCCCGCATCGATGTATCCGAATGAACGGTAAACGCCTTTATCATCGTGAGCTGTGTGCTGGTTCTGTTCACTTCGAAAGCTCCGGGCAGTTGCCCGCCTGAGAAGTGCCTTGGATTGCGCCACCACGCGTTTCAGAAAGGAGCTCACTGTTGTTGGCCGCCTAAGCCGCCGGTCAGGAGGGCAGCGTGCATGTCCCGGGGGGGCTGGAATGCTGGGGCCCTGAAGGGAGATGGCACTGTCTCGGGGACTGTGAGCTCCTCCCGGTAACGTTTTTTCCTGTCGTTTTATTTTTTAAGCAAAGTTAAACCACCTCCGCAGATTTCGCCCAGCAAGTCAGTGGGCGGGGAGTTCTGCGTGGCTGCCGTGTTTGGGACGTCCAGGTCGTGGTTTGCCAATAACGCGGGTCTGAAGAGAGAAAAAGGTGCGTATGTCACTGCGGGTGAAACCCGCCTTTTGTAACGGTTTCTTGAGGAAAATGCATGGCTGTTCTCCTTGGATCGTCTTGAGCCCAATGTCTTGGAAACCAACTTTTCACAACACTTGATAAGCATGTCTCTTCTCAGCTGCTCGAGCCTGCCCGAGAAGAAAGGCTGTCCTCGGGCGCGACACACGTGACATAAATTGCCCATTGAGTTTTTAAAAAATATACCTTATTGATTTCAGAGAGAGGAAGGGAGAGGGGGAGAGAGAGGGAAATGTCAGTGATGAGAGAGTCATCGATCGGCTGCCTCCTGCACGCCCCCGACTGGGGATCGAGCCCACAACCCGGGCCTGTGCCCTGACCGGGAATCGAACCCCGATCTCCTGGATCCTAGGTCGATGCTCAGCCGCTGAGCCACACGCTGGCCGGGCCCATTGAGTGTTTTTATTTTGCTTTGTTGGTGACGATTTCCAGGTGTTCTCGATGCTGCCAACTCCATGCCATTACATGTGTGCAGCTTTTACATTTTTGACAAGCTAATTTCACACCTCTGAGGTGTGGAGAGGGAAACCTTGCTATCTCTATTTTAGAGATAGAGAACTTGAGATTAGCGAGTCTAAATATCTCAGCTAAAAGCACTAGTTAGTAAGTGATGGTATCAGAGTTTGCAACTGGGTTTTCTGATGCTAAATCTTGATTTAAAAAAAAATCAACAGCACTTGGCCATATTATAAATTAAAAGATAAAAACAGACTGCCACTCAGAAATAAGGGTCATTTTTTGCGGTAACCATTGCTCCTTTGAACTTACATAGTTTTTCAAAATTCCCTGTTTTGGTCGTCAGGATCAATACCTAAGATGTTTACGTAATGACTGTTTGGTATGTGATTGCTGATTGATCTTGTGTAGAAGAGAATGCCCACATTCACAGACCGAGGGCTTCATTTTGAATGCGATTTCCCCTCATTTTAGTGCTGCTAAACTGGGTCACAGGCCGCGGCACTCCCCTGAAGGCTTCCCCGGCCGCATTGTTCCTGGCAAAATGGCCCTGCTTTGCGCTTGGCACTGGCAGCCAGACGTCAGCCCTCTCCCCCTTATCGCCTTTCAGTGACCCTCGCCTCGGAAACAGGATCCCGGGCACGGCAGGTTCCTTACCTAAGCGCCCGGGTCCAGTACAGTGTGCGGGCCTGCCATTTTCTTATCCCATCTGTATTTTTTTGTTCCCTCCTTAGCTTGACTGATGCTATCGAAGTGACTTTTTGTTGCCAGTGAAAACCCTCTGTGAAGCTCGATTTCAAACGCTTCTCCCTTCTGTTCTAATTACCCTTTTAACTCGCTACTCCTTTGTGTCCCGCTGACTGTCATTAGCCATTCCCCCAAATCGGCGGTAATGAATTCCTCCGGCGGGCAGATAAGGTGACCCGCCCGGCATTCGGAGCGGCTTCCTAGGCTCCCAGGCTGACTGTAAAACCCGAGATAGAGGACTCAGCCCGTTTCGGTACTGGGGACATGTGTACTCCGTCTAAAGTCACTGGCTTAGGTCCATATTCAGCACCTGACCTCAAAGGTATCACTGGTCTTCATGTACCGTGGGGCCGCTGGCCCCACGGGGAGAAAAGAAGGCAGAGGATTTGGGGGAGGAGGGTGTGTGAGTTTCCATTTGTTTGTTTCTTTGCATCCAGAAATTTTAAAGAGAAAGTTTGCTGAGAGCGCGGAGATGAGCAGTTGGGCCCACTGAGGCACAGGAAGAGCCCCGTGCACTCGCTGGCACGCCCGCTGAGCTGTGCCTTGGTCCCCGCCGCGCTCCTTCCCTGGCCACCCGATAGCACCCACTTTTCACGTGGGACACAAGATATTGCACAAGGAAAATATTGTTTCACTGTGTTAGAAATTTGAGCATGTTTGTTTCATTCTTGAAGTACATTGCTTAAGATTTAAGAAATATTCTCACAGCATAGAACTTTTTATATTCATTGGTTTATACTTAGTAAGAGGCAACCTTTAGACAAGGAGCAGACCCCATGTGAAAAAAATTCCTGCCTTCTTGTTTTCTCTCAGCAGCCTCAGGAAGAAACGAGAAGGTCAATAACTTAAAAATGATGCTGTGCTCATTTTATGTCCTTATCTAACACCCAGGTTCTGTTTTTATGTCTGTAGATCAGTCCAAACAAGTTGTAGTTGAGTCTCTCTACATTATTAGCTGCTACGGGACCTTAGTGGAGCACATGATGGAGCCACGGCCGCTTAGCACTGCCCCCAAGATTAGCGATGACACCCCACTGGAAATGATGACATCACCTCGAGCCAGCTGGACTCTGGTTAGGTAGTACCTCCGTTCTTTATGCTTTTTTTGTTTGTTAAAAATTTGTTTTATAATTACAGTAATATACAACTTTCATTTTTTTCTGAGTAGCTTTATTGAGGTATACAATATTAAAAGTGTATAATTTGATAAGGTTTGACATTGGTATATGGCTGTGGAAACCATCATTATAATTAACATTATAAATATACCCGTCGCCTGCAAATGTTGGATAGTACCTCTTTTTAATCTCTCCCTCCTGCCCCTCTTCATCCCTGCCTCTCCCGTGGAGCCTCAGGCAACCACTATCTGCTCTCTGTCACTATAGATTGCTTTATGATTTCCAGAAGTTTATATAAATGGAGTCATGGAGTGTGTACTCTTTTTTTGTCTTGCTTCTTTCACCCAGCAAAATTATTTTGATCCATGCCTGTTGTGGCATGTATTGATAATTTTTTCCTTTTTAAAATTGAGGCATAATTTATACATAATACAGTTCACCCATTTAAAGTGAATTTTCACTAGGTTATGTAGCCATCACCACAATCAGTTTCCATCACCCCCAAAAGAAACCCATTAGCAGTCACTCATTTTACTTTCTGTCCCTATAGATTTGCCTACTCAGGACATTTCATATAAATGGAATCGTACAAAATGTAACCTTTTGCATCTGACTTCCTTCACTTAGCATAGTGTTTTCAAAGGTCCATCCATGTTGTAGCATGTATCAGAACTTTGGTCCTTTTTTATGGCCAAATAATATTCCATTGCATGGATATACCACATTTTGTTTATCCATTCATCAGTTGATTAGCATGTCCACTTTTTACCTGCCGTGAATTATGCTGCTAAGAACATACATGTACAAAATTTTATGTGGTCATATGTTTTCAGTTGTCTTTGGTGTATGCCTTGGAGAATATCTCCTTTTGAATTCCTTTGTCCTTGCATCTTTGTGTTATCTTTTCTAGGATTTTTTTTTTTCATTTTCCACGTACAGTGCTCTAGTGCTTCGCCTTATTCCCAGTCTCATGCTCACTGAAAATAGAGAGTACCTTGAGTCAGCCATTAAAGGGAATAGAAACTAACATAAATAGATTGGAAGGTTTCCTTTCATGTGATTCCCCAAGACATATGGGTTAAGACTGTAGAAGTGTTTATTAAGAAGCAGAGTCCTTCTTCACAGTACATAATCATTAGAATCTTTATAAGCTAATAAGGATTGAGAAGTGAAATCTAGAGTGAAACCTGTTCAGTATAGTGTACAATGAACAGCAAGGGAGAGACAGAAAAAAATTGGTCCTGATACATATGGAAGGAAACAGACAAAAATGGATACAAAAATGATCCCTTTCCTTTTCGACATTTTAAAATATTCTTATATTGATTTTTGAAGGCTCCAGTATTCTTTACTACGACTTCACTGCACTACATTGATCTGATCAATATCTTATTTATCAAGTTATTCATGAGGAGGCAGATCTAATTAAAATCACTGCACCAGCGTTATTGAAATATGTGGCTTCTTTGGAACTCAGATGGTAATTAGGTCTATATAATAAGTCCAACCGTTCACATACCTATGTTTTCCCAACCATTTTTACCTGCTTTATTCTCTTGGAAAATACACACATATTCTGGGAATAGAGAGCTCTAACAACTCCCAGAAATTTGGTACAGTGAGACCTGCTCAGCTGTGACACTTGAATTCCGCGCCTCCTCTCTGTCCAGTGTTCTGAGTGTCTTGTCTGCCCTGTGGGAGGGTCTCCTGCTTTAACTGATACTGGCCCCGTGCCACTGTGGGACTCGCTGCCACCTCTTTATTCTTCCTAAGCAGATGGCCTCGCGTTTCAGGTTTCAGCACTCCAACAAGTTCATTTTAATGACTACAAAGATTGTGTGAGTTTACATCAGTGTCTGTAAGTGGTGACAGTGGTGGTGATTTACATATCATCTATTAACTTAAATATTAATATTCCGCTGCTGTTTCCTTAGAACTCCTCAATGGAATGAGTTGCAGCCACCATTTAATGCAAACCACCCTCTGCTCCTCGCCGCAGATGCTGTACAGTATTATCAGTTCCTGCTTGCTGGCCGTAAGTAGTTCTTGGTTTTCTCCTTCCATACAGTATTTTGGAATTTCATCTTAAAATGCTGATTTTTAATGCAATCATGCATATTACCACTGGTGCATCGTTCATAAGCCATAAGCAGTGAGACGGAGGCAGTGAGATCCTTGCTACAAACATAAACCATGAGACTTAGCACACGTTCTGTATGCCTCTGGCTGGTGCATTCCCTGCCCACGCGATACACCCCTGCAGTTAGTGAGCCGATAGGGAGTATCTGGGGGGGCTCTAAAATTTAAAAAAAGAGAGGATACTAGGGTAATAAAATTCATAAAACTTGGTATTTGTTTCTGACATGAAAAAAGTAAGCACTTTCAACTGTGAAAACTGTATCAGCAGGTTTTTCTCTTAGTAGAATTTTACTTGCAATAATGAAGTAGTGATTGCAACTCCATTGGGTTTTTGTTCATCTACTTTCATATCTAAGCCCTTACATTTGTAGATTGATCCAAGTTCTTTTTTCACGTAAGGGGAAAATGTACATTGAGTTAGAAACAGCCTCGTTTGTAGGGGAGGCATGGAAAGACAATTTAATATTTATTTTCCAGTTTATTGTCATAGAATTAAAAATTCTTCACAATTATATCTCAGCTTTGGAGAATTGACTAGGTCCTTAATTTCACATCATGGCTCTGAGCAGTGCATGTTTTTAAGAAACTTCCTAAAAATCAACATCGACATGTTTTTAATGGAGTTTTGTTGTATTGAACTTATTATGTCGCTTGGCTGTATTTATACAGCATGAAGTAAAATATTTCTAAAACTTTTATTTTATGTTTATAATGTGTTATGTATTAAACTGGAAACAGAGAAAATTTATTGACTTTGCTCTAAAGTTATGAGACTCCATAATTGTAGAGCAAATAGTTGGCGGTCTTGAGACTCCATAATTGTAACAAATAGTTGGCGGTTTTGCTCTTACATAATTGAACTCACTGGTTTTTCCAGTATGTATTTCTTGAGTGACTTCTATGTGTCAGGCACTTGTGATCTAAATGACAATAGTATGCTGCTTCTGTCCTCAATGAATTCACCGTATTTCAGGAGGTAGGTTTTTAGTGGAAGAGTAAAATGAAACGAGATGGGCGTATCAGTGAAGAGTTGGGTTAACATTGAACTGTGAGAGCAATGACTTCAGATGCTAAAGCCTTTACAGGAAGGGGTAGTATATAAGTAGTTTTCTGGTTTGAAAGCAGAGGACATAAAAGTTGTTAGGTCCTAGGTTATCTAAGCATATATCTAACTCTATCGTATGAATTAGGAAAAAAACATGACATTTATATAAAATCTAATTAAAATAATGAGACCGTTTTCCTCCACCCTCTCATCATGGGTGAAAATATCTAATTGTTCAGTATAGTTGACCCTTTCAGGATTAATACTGGATTATTGGTTTTGTTATTTTGGTAGGTCTGTTCAATAGACAGACAGCTTCTCAAACATGAGAAAAAGATACTGGTAAAAAACAAATGCAGCTATCTTTATCTGGTAATTTTTTTGTTCCAACAAATTAAGCTGCTTGATATTCTTTCATTTTAGCAGCTCTGAACACCTTTGTCCGATTCTTAGAACTACAAAAGTCCCCAGGTGCATGGTTTAAGATCCACCACCGTGGGCAGTAGCAGGCCGCCAGGTGTGTCCCAGCATTGGAGCGACACCGTCAGAGCTGCTGTTCGGCAGATGGCTCTGGCCGCGTTGTAGCAGGAGGCTCAGAGGAGGGGCCGCAGGGGAGGCGGGTGATCCTGGAGCTCCACGAGAGGGCTTTAATTAAGGCTGGATTACGGAGGAGACGGCCAGCTCTGTGAGCTAGAGCAGAGTTGGAAGAGAAAGGAATTAGAGATCATTTGAAAGAATGTCGTCACTGATGATTCTGTGGTTTCTAATTAAAATATGAAGCATAATGCATTTCATGTTGGACCTTATGAATATCAGCTGGACTAGCAATGGAGTAAGGATGAAAAGGCCTGGGTTCCAGTTACAATCCATTTCTCAATAACTTGATAAATACAGAATAGCAATGATAATACTTGCTGTTTTAAAGTTGTTATGGTCAATGAAGTGATGCTAAAGTCCTTTAAATACAGTGAAACAGTACCTTTGTTTCTCACCTCAAAAGTGCGTATTTTTGAATAGTAGACTTCAGGGCCTTCCTAATAGAGTGCCTGTTCTGGCTACCTGATTTTGGTCATGCTGTAATATCTGTTATCCAAGTGATGGACTATAATTAATATGCTTTTTCTTATCTTGTGAAGTGTTACTATAGAGGTAATCTAATTGGTAAAAAAAAAAAAAAACACCTCAGAGGTAATTTTGTAATAATTGTTACACTGCTTCTTTACATTGAGAGTGTTGAGACAGAATTCTTCTGGATTTTAAAGTCACGTTTTCTTACATAAAGAAAGGCTATTTGATTGAGAGTCCTGAAATGCCTGTATATGACACGATGGAAGCAATTAAATATGCAAAACATGGCCATCTGCGTCAGAGGAATAAAAGCCTGAAATACAATTGGAAAAAACAATGCTGGAGCCGGTTTAGAGAGGATGCCTTCACCCGCCCACTGCTGCGCCCTCTGCGCAAACAGAACCTCGCTTCGAAGACTTCCCTGTCACCTTCTTGTCTTCTCTCCAGTGCTCCTTCCCGAGGCCATTTGAAAGTTTTCTGTTTTGCTTAACCATGTTGAAAATCACCTCTTATTTCCTACCTTGAAGACTACTGATAAATACATTACTAAAAGCACTTTCAAATATAACCTTTTGGAGTCAAACTCTAATGCTAACTTCACGAACGTCGTAGGCATTTTCTTTGGTCGTATTTGGATCCGTGGATCAAGCGAAGCCCACTTGTGCAAGCTCGGGAAGTTATAATAATAGTCGTAGACAAAGAATGATGGACATGGGAATGGGAAAGAGACTGTCTCGGAGAAGAGAGTAGGAGAGCAGGATGTTTAGCAAGGAATCCCACTCCCCTTCCCGCCCGCAATCCTAATAGATACCCTGCTGGCTGCTGAACAGAGTTCTGCATGTGTGGCCCACGCGTGACTGGTGGGAGAGGGAAAGGGAAGCCTCCCCGAAACACTAAAGCCTTCTTACCTCACTTTAAAGTGAAGTAAGTAAAAGTGCCACCTTTTGTTTTTGTAACTAGTGGCATTTCCTACGTGGATTCCTTGAGTGGAATGGGACACAATTGAAGAAGTTGGGTGTATCACTGAATCAGAGCAGAACGAATGCTCCTTCCAGAAGTCCCTAGGGAGGCAGGGAGGGCTCTTTAGTAGGATGAGCCTTAGGAATTACCGATTTGAGTGAGTTAAAAAAAAGGTCAAATAGCAAATTCATAAGGTTTGAGTAGATTGATTAATCTAATCTTGCTGTATATCTCAGTAAAGGTAAAAGTTGAGAATTTATTATCAAGAAATGTTTTGCCTCGGCCATAAGTAATCTTGGGAATAGTTTATAAAAAGATTATAGCAGAGATTAGTGATTTTTTTTCTAATGCCTTTTCTAAAATAGGCATTTTTGACTATGATCCTAAAGTAGATAACCTTGTTTTTTAGTTGGCTTCAGAGCTTCCCAAATTGTAAATTAAAAGCAGGGCTTACTGAATTGACTTGGGAAAGTTGTATTCACGGGGGAAATAATGTTTCCTCCTTTTCTTCCAGGTAGTTGGGCCGCAGCAGTATTTTTAAGTTGCTGACATTAACTAGCTTTGTTGGGGGCAGGTCAGATTTCTTTCTAAAATAATCCTTACGTATATGAGAAGTTCCTCCCTGAGCTTATGGACTTTTCTTTGTTAAATAGTAACAAAAGACCATTCAACAGAAGTACAGCGTTGATACACAATAGAAAGGTGACTGGGATCTATAGGCCCTTCCTGTGTTTTATTGGGAATGTAATTGTTTCCTCTACCTTTAAAAGCAGTATAGGAAAGGTGGGGAGAGCCTTTGGCACCAGATGGGAAGGAATGAAGGGCATCGAAAATGGTTAAAACAGGTATCTTTCAAACAAATGTGTTTCAGTTGGATTTGTGTGTGAACATAATGTGCTTTGACTTCATTGAGTATTTCTTGAAGTTACATTTCAATAGTAGCTAAACAACAACAACAACAAAAACCCCAGAATATAGCTTAAAGCAACTGTTTTCAAGTCACTGGACATCAGGGAATAAAGGATCCTTGAGAGACGGGAAACTCATGAGGCGAGCTCTGCAATTGCCTCAGTTTCTCGCCTTTAAGGATTTTCTGGGCTGTGCTGCAGGGATGGCGAATCCAAGTGGAATGTGGACTTGGCAGCACACCAAGACCAAGGAAGACCAAGGAAGAGCCCCATCTGCAAAATGCCATGAACTCTTATTGTAAAAAACGTTTTATGAAAACAGCGACTTCATGATTTCATTTATATATTGTCTGTGGCCACTTTACAATAATAACCACAGAGCCGAGTGATAGTACAGAAACGGTATGACCCACAGAGCCCTAACTGTTTACTGTATAAGTTAATTCCTGACCTAGAATTAGCCAGACAGGTTATTAGAGAGAATAGATCAGCACAGAATGAGAACTCTCAACATCTGCAGAGGGTCCGCTTCTGGTGTTCAACCCAGTGCTGATGGGCGTGGGAAAATACCCAAAGCCGAGGAGCAGCAACTGCAGAGAATCTCAGCGGGCACGGTGCCTGGAGCTCACACAGGGTCACGAGTGGTGACACTGGCACAGTTATTATAAGTGTATTCCATATGTTTACAAAGTTAGAGATGTGGGAGGCATTAAAAAGACTCAGAGTCCTAGATATGAAAGTCTAGATGCGAAAGCTGTATTGGATAAGAGTAAGAATAAATTAGAAATTGCAGAAGAAAATATTAATGAAATTGAAGATAGGCCAAGAGAAGTTATCAAAAATGAAATACAGAAAGAAAGAAAAATTAAAAACTTGAGACCAGACTCTCTGCATCAGGATGATTGGCGCGGACAG